AGCGTTGCAGTAATCAAGGCGGGATGTAACCAGAGCATGGACTACCATGGCTAAGTCGGACTTCCCAAGGTATGGTCGCAGTTGGCGCACAAGTTTTAATTGTGCGAATGCTACCCTGGTCACCGCCGAAACCTGGGGTTCCAGGCTCAGCGATGAGTCCAGGATCACACCCAAACTGCGAACCTGTGTCTTCAGGGGGAGTGCGACCCCATCCAACACAGGCTGTAATCCTATACCCTGTTCGGTCTTACGACTGACCAGGAGTACCTCTGTCTTGTCTGGATTCAATTTCAATTTGTTCGCCCCCATCCAGACCGTCACAGCGGCCAAGCACCGGTTCAGGACCTCGACAGCCTCCTTAGTAGCAGGTGGAAAGGAGTGACAGAGCTGGACATCATCTGCGTACAGATGACATCTCACTCCGAAACTCCGGATGATCTCGCCCAGCGGCTTCATGTAGATGTTAAACAGCGTATATGCCTTACGCATTAATGCGTATATGCCTTACGCATTAAGGCTCTTTATTTACAGAAAGGGATGGGCAGTTTTGTCCCAATTGCATTCAAGTTCCAAAGCAAAGGAGGAAAAAGAAAGCGAGGTAGAGGAGATCAAGCCTCCTTGGAGACTGGCCTTCAGCACCTTGATCAGTTCCTTTCTGAAGTGAGCATGCAAACCCAAGATTCAGTGGCCAGATCACATGCAACCAAGGTACATTCGATATTCCAAACCCCATCCTCCTGAACTTGTGCTTCATGTTCCAAGCACCCTCCTCCACCCCAATAATGCCTTTCTCAAGGCTTGAAAGAAATAAAGGTTTCTACGGCCCCCAAAAGACTCAGCACAAGGCTGTTTCTTGGCCACACTTTCCTACATCTTCAGGAGATCTAGAAACTTTGGAGAAGGTCTTGCAGCAGATCGAATAAATCAAACCTGTTTCCATCAGATATGATTGGTCCACTCAATGGCATAACTCCAATAACTCCTCTTTGGCAGAAAAAAATGAAATGCACAGATATAAGGTGGGGACGCTTGTCTTGAGAACAATTCTATGTGAAAGCGATTTTGGAGTTTTAGTAGACTACGAACTGAACATGAGTCAACAGCCAAAAAAGTCAATGTGATTCTAGGCTGTATCAATAGGAGAACAGTGTCCAGTGAAGCTGGAAAATGGTCCCAGGTCTGGAAACTTTTGAATTGGATCAAGGAATACTGTAGGTGTGGGAAGATGGCGCCGAGGACGGCTGTGTAGCTAAACTCCCCGGTCTGTTTTTACGTTTTATCTAACGCTCCAAAT